GGGAGGGAGGGAGGCTGGGCTCCCCCCAGAGCAATCCCGATCCAGCTGCGGGAGGGTTTGCTTCGTTCCCACGACTGACTGTTCTGACATGGGTCGAGAGTGGGGCCATTTGCAGAAAGGCAGCGGGACGATCTGAACTGCGCCTCCTCCCCGCCCTCTTTCCAGGACTCAGCTGCTTGAGGAGAGATGGGGGAGGCGGGGGGGCCCAGCAGCTGGGCCTTTCGGGGAACCACAACTGCTCCCGCTGCCCTGCCGCCCCCACGACCCGATTCCACTAACCAGCGCACAGACACACAGGCGCCCTGGCTGCGTCCGCACAGTGTGTAACGAGCTAAACCGAAGACAGGGAGACCAGGTGGCGACGTTCACACATTAGCGGAGCAAAACTTTGCACTTTTGTTCTTGGCGCCGGCTTCTGCTCCTTTTTTCAGTTGTGGGTCATGTGTTCTTTTACCACTGTTTATATGATTGCTTTTATCTTTAAACTTTGTTCGCGCCCAGAGTCTCTTTGGCGAGAGGGGCGGCGGCATAGGTCTAAATAAATGGAGCCAAAGAAGTAAACTGCTAAGCTCGATCAGCGCCAACCTGCGTAAGGTTTTCTGGTTTTGGCCCTTTGGGGGAACTCGGCTAATTCGCTCCATGGATCACATCCGACGTCTTGTGAAAACACCGAAGACGGGCAAATCTCGCCAGCCAGACGACTGTACCGGTGCAAGGCCAGTGCCTTGAGCCCGGGAGCAGAGCACACCCTTGGCACGCACCCATTCCCGGACCCAGCGCTGGCAACCCTCGCCCTTCCTTTCTCCAAGGCCTTTTTGTCTCCCTGCCCCATGTGCCGGGACGAGACCACGGACAGAGCCACGTTAGGGCTGGGAATCGGGTCCTGGTCACCCACGCGCTTGAAGAGGCAAGGGTGGGTGACGTGGTTCTGGACCACAAAGGGAATAAAACAGCTGCAGCGGGAGGATCCCCCTACAAGGCCGCCACTCTGCACACGGGCAGGAGCTAGGCTGCACCCTGCTCTGTGGGAGAAGCGGACGATCTGACACGCAAGCGGAAAACGGGTCCTTGCGGGAGTGCAAAAACCCCACTTTCTGACTCGGGACAGGGAGCGACCAGGAGGACAAATGGACAGCTGCGGTTGCTCCCACCGTTGCTAAAGCCTCCGAAAAAGCATTTCCAGTTCCCCGTATATATTGACGGATAATCTCAATTTATAAGGAAACGGACTCTGGGCGGCATAAATTAAAATCAGCTCCGTACAGAAGATCAAGCGAAAACACCACCAGCAGCATCTCATAATGGGGGGGTCGCATTCCTTTACCAGGGGGCACACCACCCGCAGCTTGGTAGAAAAGCCACATTTTTAAAGAAGGTCTAAAGCTATATTTCTCAACCTTGGCCACTTTCAGAGGTGTGGACGTCAACTCCC